GAACTTAAACATGATCTATTATCAGTATCCCAATTAACAAGACAGTTAAAGTGTTCTGTTCAATTCTTTCCTGAATTCTGCATATTTCAGGACCTCTTCAATGGAGAGGTGAAGGGGATTGGTAGAGAAAATGATGGGTTGTATTACTTTCCTAGAGGTTTGTCAGAAGAAAAGACAATTGCTGCAAATGTTGATGACAGAAGGTCCATGAACAAGACAAATTCACAGTTTATGATATGGCATTACAGAATGGGACATCCTTCATATAAGGTCTTAAAGCAATTGTATCAAAGTGTTCCTGCAGGGGTATGTGATTATTGCCCTATATGTCCATTAGCCAAACAAACCAGGCTTACATTTCCTATGAGTAACTCTAGAACTAAGGATGTTTTTGATCTCATTCATCTTGATGTATGGGGACCATATAGACATACTACTCATAATGGTTTTAGATTCTTTTTTACTGCTGTGGATGATAATTCAAGGGTGACTTGGTTGTTCTTAATAAGACATAAAAGTGATGTGTTTGCTATCTTGAAGTCCTTTTTTGTGTTAGTTAAAACTCAGTTTGATAAGCAAATCAAAAGAGTAAGATCAGACAATGGTACAGAGTTCTTTAACAATGAATGTAAAACATTGTTTACTTCTTTAGGAATTGTTCATGAAAGTAGTTGTTCACACACTCCACAACAAAATGGAGTGGTGGAAAGGAAGCATAGACATATTCTTGAAGTGGCTAGGGCTCTTAGATTTCAAGGGTCCATTCCTATTAAATTTTGGGGTGAATGTGTGTTAGCTGCTGTATATTTGATCAACAGAATGCCCACAAGTGTATTACAGGGAAGGTCACCATATAAAGTTTTTCACAAGACTAAACCAAAATTAGATCATCTAAGAACAATTGGATGCTTATGTTATGCAACTAAAGCTGTTAAGGAAGATAAGTTTTCTTCCAGAGTTGATCAATGTGTTATGATGGGGTACTCTTTAACTCAGAAGAGATATATGCTATACAACCTGGCTTTAAGAAAGTTTGTTGTGAACAGAGATGTAGTCTTCAAAGAACACATATTTCCATTCAGTCAGCTGAAGGATGAGAATGTGAGAATGTTCATTGAACAGCCATTTTGTGACTATGACATTGATGGATTTCATACTCCTTTAGATGTTGAGACTTCAGATGAACATGCTGAACAAACACTTGTTCCTACTGAACATGTTTCTGAAAATATTACTGAGGAGCATGATGATGACAATATAGTTGTGCTTGATCCTGTACCCAGAGTTTCTTCAAGAATGTCTCACCCACCTGTATGGATGAAAGACTATGTTACTCATCTGACTAATTCAGTCCATCCTCATTCTTTAGCCAAATATATGTCATATAGTCATTTGTCTGGATCTTATCAGACATATTTGAGTACAATGTCAGCAGAAGTTGAACCCAAAACATATGAAGAAGCTATCCAGGATCAAAGATGGGTAGAAGCCATGAAACAAGAGATTGCTGCATTAGAAGATAATGGTACATGGAAGGTTATGACTTTACCTTCAGGAAAACATGCCATAGGCTGTAAATGAGTGTTTAAAATAAAATACAAAGCCACTGGAGAGATTGACAGGTTCAAAGCTAGGCTTGTAGCTAAAGGATACAGTCAAACTGAGGGAGCTGATTATCAGGAAACATTTTCACCAGTTGTGAAAATGGTTACTGTTAGAACTATTATTGCAATTGCAGCTGCTGAAAATTGGCAAATATTTCAGATGGATGTTTTCAATGCCTTTTTACAAGGTGATTTGGATGAAGAAGTGTATATGGAACTTCCTAAAGGTTTCATAAGCAAGGGGGAGCATAAAGTTTGTAAACTAAAAAAGTCATTATATGGTCTCAAGCAAGCATCTAGGCAATGGAATGTTAAGCTCACTGATGCATTGTTGAATTCTGGATACATACAAAGTCATTTGGATTACTCCTTGTTTACAAAGAGGAAGAAGTCAGCACTAGTTATTGTGTTAGTTTATGTGGATGATTTGTTGATAACTGAAAATGATCTTGCACCAATACAGGAGACAAAGCAGGTTCTGCATCTTCATTTTAAAATAAAGGATTTGGGAGAATTGAGGTACTTCTTGGGGATAGAATTCTGCAGATCAGAACAAGGCATAGTAATGAATCAAAGGAAATATGCATTGGAGTTAATTTCAGAAACAGGATTATCAGGAGCTAGACCATCTTTGACACCTTTGGAGACAAACATGAAGCTTACAAGTGCTGATTATATGCAAGATGTCCATGATGAACTATTTGCTGATATAAACAAATATCAAAGGTTGATTGGCAAACTACTATACCTTACTAACACAAGGCCTGATATTGCCTTTTCAGTTCAGTGTTTGAGTCAATTTATGCAAAAGCCAACACTTTCTCACTGGAATGCAGCATTGAAGGTAGTTAGATATGTTAAAACAGCACCAGGTCTGGGGATACTCATGAGTTCTGATAAACAAGCACAACTCACTGGTTTTTGTGATGCAGACTGGGCTGCCTGTCCAAACACTAGAAGATCAGTGACTGGCTACCTCTTGAAGTATGGGAAATCTTTAATAGCATGAAAGTCTAAGAAACAAAATACAGTTTCTAGAAGTTCTGCAGAAGCAGAATATAGAAGCTTAGCAACATTAACAGCTGAAGTTGTTTGGGTGAATAACTTGTTCAAGGAATTGGGAATGGATGTGCATGAACCAGCCATCATACATTGTGACAACAAAGCTGCTATGCAAATAGCAGCAAATCCAGTTTTTCATGAGCGTACGAAGCATATCGAGATTGATTGTCATTTTATCCGTGAAAGGTTACAAGAAGGATTGATTAAAACAAGCTATATCAATACTAAGGAGCAGCAAGCAGATTTGTTAACAAAGGCCTTAGGAAGATCTCAACATGACTTCTTATTGGCCAAGCTAGGTGTATTAAATGTTTTCAATACATCTAGCTTGAGGGGGGACTATTAAAGATAGATAGTTAGTTAAGCTAATTAAGTGTAGTTAGTTTGTTATTAATATTGTTAGGATTTAGTTAATAGTTAGTTAGAAAGTTTGTTACTGTTTTTCCTCTACTTGTATAAATAGTACTCCTCCTACATCGGGTGAGGAACAATGCTTCAACTTTCTCCAATATAAAAATTCCAAAATCTCTCTCATCCCTCTCAATTTCTACAATTATTATAAAATATAAAGGGAGATAACCAATAATTTTTAAGTGCCTCATAAGTCATATCCCAGCAAATGCAAATAAAATAAAAAATGGTACCTTTGATGAAATAATTATCCTATAACTTTAATGACAAAGTTACAAATTTCACGGCTATGAACTTGTGGTCATTGTCTCAAAGTACAATACGGCCAATGCAGATAATTAATATGTGCACATGTTTTAAATTCTCATTTTTGTTTATTTGTAAAAACTCCACTTTTGGGTAGTTGAATAATGTATTTTTAATTTTTAAAAAAAGTTCTATAGTTGATGTTATGTTTTTAGTAAAGCTGTGGAAATATATGAGTTCATATGAATTTAGTAGCTCGTATACATATATGAAAAGTTTTTAAATATTTATTTATAAGTTTAAAAATTAATATTTTAATCTTAATTATATATGTTACACCCGTCTGTGGTGGGGTTGTATATTTCGTATCACAATTATATGAATGGAATCGTTGATGGATGCAAAATGAATAATTGTCCTTTGTCTCTCTTGTAATCTACAGTTGTACTTAAATTTGTGAAAGCACCTTGAGAAAAGTTATATACAGACCCTACTAATTTATAAAATTTGAGATAATATTGTTACGTACTTACGTTGCCTCACTAATATATCTGCTTTATTTATTTTCTTCCTTATCTTTGATTTAATTTAATCAAAGCTTACATCAGCTAATTAGGTCCCTTTTGTCTAACTGGTGGAAATTACTATCGAGAAAAATAATGCAAAAATATTTTTTTTTTAAAATAGTGGTGTATAAGATAGCTTGTATTAATATATCTTCGAAATAAATTTGATCATATTAAAAGAAGTCCAGCTACAGTGTATTGGATGTGAATTGTGATTATGTTTACGGTCTTCGACTCAAATTATATACTAGTGTACGTGCATTTGAATGAGAATAGTATATAATGGTCCTCTTTTCAAGTTATTATAATTTTATCATGTGCAATCAACTCTCAAATTATAACGATCAAAAAAATGATTTTCACGAGAATGTTCTTTGATAATATATATAGAGAGAGAGATGATTTACAAAGTCCGTCTTTGTAATTATGCTACGCTTGATACTAATTGTCATTCTCCTATTTCTAAGTCATCCAAATTAGTGCTAGTACTGTTCAATATAAAAATTTACGAAACAAAATTATTATTTTAAAATATGCTTTGATAGGAGTGTTTCAGCTAGGGCGGTTTCTTGTTAATCTAGTCTAGCTAATATTAACACTGTGAATTGTGGCTGACAATTTGTTATCAATCTCGATGCCTCGGCTTTGTCGTGGCCTCTCTTCACTTGTATTGGCATCCAATGTACTTTGATTTCTAAGAAACTAAAAGTTTGGATTCTTAAAAATGATAGTCTATTAATATTGATTCTTCTGTAGCAATTTTAGAGGATTCCACACGCATCCATCAATATTCTTAAAAAATTGCAGTGATATTGCCTTGAAGCATGTAATTTTTTTTCATAAGTAGTACATTATTTGATTTTCATGATAAAATTTACATAACAACTACTATACAATACTAATATGCTTGATTTTTTCATAACGGATGACAAAATAACAAACTTATATTTTATATGTTTATGGCTGATTTATATCAACAAAGTCGTTGTAGTATAGTGGTAAGTATTCCCGCCTGTCACGCGGGTGACCCGGGTTCGATCCCCGGCAACGGCGAATTTTCTCTTTTGGGCTTTTTTTGGTGACGAAAGGATTATATTGGGCTTTTTACACGAAACACACGAGCCGAAATTCATTCCATTATGGGCTAGTAGGAGATCTACCCGAATCCAATTTATTTTGGCCCTAATTTCAAATTTCCCACAGCTTTTTATCTTCGGCAAAGTTCTGACTAGTCTTCCAGTTCACTCTCCCTCCGGCGAATTTTCACTCTCTATGTTCTGCGCGATCAAGTTGTAAGATTTCTATCTCTTTTCTCTGTTTTTATTTTCTTACTTTGGTTCAATGATGGGGAAGTGATTACAATGGAAATCAAAACCTCGGTGAAAATTCAGATAACCAACCGATTGAGCTACTAAGAGCGCTCTCTCTATCTATTTATTCCAATGATCTTAACGATAAAGTATAAATTAGGAATATTGCGTTCTTTCTTTTACATTTTATTTGCGCCTCGTGTAACTAATTGTTGTGATATTGTACTAATACATGGAGGTTTTTCATATTTTGGGTAGATGTAAAGGATATAAATGGAGATGACAGGATGATATTTTGCATTCTGAATCTCACTCTCTAGTTAATGAAATCCTCCTCAATACCACCTGAATTCTCTGTAATTGAATTGTTTGGTGAACTTTATCGTCGATCTCTCTCTATATAGTATGGAATTATGTGTATTGGTCTTTGTGTTTCTTACAAGTTAACATACATTTTTGTGTCCTCAAGAGTGTGGTTGAATGGTTGAGGAGTAGGAGTAATGAGTGGTAGTAGCCTGGGGATCTGAGGTTTCGAATCAAAGCTACACTACTTAGGGTGATCCCATTTGCCCTAACCTTAATGAATAGATTTGGCCTTCATTGTGCTCGAGTACTATTACAGACGCACAAGTTGGTTGAAGCGCCACCGTCATTTTTCTAAAAAATGCATCATTATGTATTTCATTTGCTTCTGTCCCTTTTTTTAAAAAGAGAAGTATAGGAAAGAAGGCGGAATAGTAAAATAGTGTATTCAGTGTTATGTGACTATTTTTCAAATCTTCAGTAAGCGAAATAATGCCATAAAATACGTAGTGTTTTTTTTTTATTATTTTGTGAATTTTCAGCATGAAATATGACAATTGTAAAATTCATTCAACTTGCCAAAATCATTCAAGTTATTGCAACTGCAGAATTCATGTCCTGACCATCTGAAATATCACATAAAACGGTGAACTGAGGTTTTTATGTCATAGAACTTGATAATTAATGCTCTTTCTGAAAACTAATTTCTGTGTCTATCAATACTATTGCTATTATTAGAAAATTAATCTTTATATTTGAATCTTTCTTCCTTCTGTTAATATCTTAGATTCTTGGGTTGTGCGTTCCTCACGTTCCAAAGGTTTTATAACCAGGATCTTCTCATCGTAGAAAGTTGATGTAGGAAAACAAGCTGATCCAGTTCACTATACTGGTAAATTTTTCTGTTTCAGAAAATTAGTATTCGTTTCTTGTTCTGTTCACTTTAATGAGTTCTCATGTACAAGGCATGGATTCAATCATAAAGTCTGTACTTATCACCTTTTCCTATTCATGATTGTGGATTTACAGTTTCTCAAATGGATCCAGAAGCTGCACGTAATGCACGGGATTCACTGGATCTGGTATTTCATATGTCAAACATTCTTGATACTGGGCTTGATCGTCACGCTTTATCCATTCTGATTGCACTCTCTGAACTGGGTTTCAATCCTGAGGCCTTGGCCGCTGTAGTTAAGGAGCTTCATAGAGAAACACCAGTTTCTTCTTCTGTCCAATCATCCGCTCCATCAGCACCTTAGGTTGATTAATTTTAAATCTCATTGATTGCTGAGATTCGATGGAACAATCTCCGGAGGAGCTCTTTCTTAACCTTTTTATCCTTCCCCTGTTGATTGATGTGTAAGTGGTTTGTTCTCTTATCCTACTTTAGCATTAAACACAAGGGTTTTTTGAGTTTTGAGGCTTACTTGGAGTGAGCCTTCTGGCTATCCTTCATTATGCAAGCTTTCTCCATTTCTTTGAAATTCAACTGGCTGATGCGTACTTTTATTTACTTCGCTTTGAAAGATCATATCTTATTGCTAATACTGGATAAATATAAAAATGTTCAATCCAAAAATTGACTATTTTAGCATCTTCTACTCTGTTGGGTGTTCCAGTATTGCCTGCACTTATCGAGTAATAGTGTTTTAATGCTGTTCAAGAAAGGATGCATTTACTAGCTGCTGATTGATTATTTCCTGACGTATATTCATTCCAATGCAACCCTGAATGACCAACTAAATCATTAATGACATTTCACATAACCGTCGAGCTGTTGTGACCAATATTGTAGCTTGCATTCTACCCGTTCTTTTATCCTATCAGAGTGGCTTCATTTTTTAGTTGAAGAACTATTGAGATTGTTGAAGAAACTTGGTCAGCAAATGATTTCTGTGTTAGTGCATCCTATATCAATTGTGTTGTCTTGTATACAGAAAAGGTTAGGTTTTCTGGGCAAAGCAGTCCACATTTTGTGATTTGTTAGATTTTAAATGTCTTTGCTACATTAATGTACGCTTTAGAATTCTCTGTATGACATCATATATAGTATCTGACCTAACAATGGGGATGCACTCCAAAGAATTTTGGGTTTTCATCAATCTTTTGTGTCGTTGTGCTTGTTTAATCATTTGCGAAATCATTAGATTTCTTCTCTTAAAACACTAATGTGTTTTTCTTTAAATGGAGAATTTAGCTTTAGCACACAGGTGTGACCTAGTGGTCAATGAGACAAGCCTCGAACAATGAGGTCTAATGTGCATTGGTGATGATCAAATAATTGCTTAATTTACCCATATACATTGCACAAAGACCTACACAGTCAATTGTTGTGCAGTACCATGTATATTCTGTACTCTTATGGACTACAGCTTTATTTTACATGTGTGTTGTGTTACATAACCAATCTCTGGTAAATGGGATGGAATTGATGCTACATACTACTAGTAAATGAATTATTATGGTCACACTGGTTACTCCAACCTACCATGAATAAACGAGTCGAGAAAGGAACAACGTACAATATACGATGTTCTTCACATTGGAATCCAGTGATTGGATTATGAACAAGTTCTGAAAGAGGAAAATCGTCAATTCAATCGATACTATCGAACTAAAGCTAGCCAGCCATCCACCAGAGTTCTATGCATCATATGAATAGAAATCGATTAAATATTTATTCAGTACAATGATATGAACATAATGCCAAAGATTTAGTAATTTACCTTTGTTTGTGATCAAATACCTTTTATAAAGGAAAAAAGCTCAAATATATTATTGAATTTTAAAAAAAAAACTGCCATTAGATAAAAATTTAGCTCGTTTATGTCATTATCGTTAAATAAAAAGCTTATCCATGTCTTTTTTTTAACAATAATTTTACAAAATTATTTTTAACTGATGGTCAATTCTAATTCGGCCACATCATCAATTTTTTTTTGAAATAAATTCACTGTACCTCTTTAAAAGTAATACTTCTTTCCCTTTATCTTTATTTGTTCACATTTAACATGTCATATCTCTTCAGAAATACTTAAGAAATAGAAAGCTATTTATATTGTTCTAATTACATTAAAATATTAAAAAATAAATAGTATTGAATTACAAAGGCAAAGGAGATACGAAATGATCGATTATTCAACTTGGGACGTCAAGTTGAAAATTGAGGCTTCAGACCAACTGTGCTGCAATGTTACCCATCGCAAGCAATATAACGTTATTGTATTTGTAGCACGTCGGCTGGAGCATGAGATGCCTAGTTGCTAGCTTTAGCAGCCTCCACGTGTTGGTGTTATGAATGTGTTGTCACTATCTCTGTTTGAAACAATTCTAATAAAACTGCAATTGGGCTGACTAATTACAGAACAGAAGAAGGATCGGTATTGTTCTTTAGTTGCAGCAACAAATCTTTTGTTTTTTTTCAATAATCATGGGTAAATTCTTGACTCTCATGACTCACCTTCATACACTTGCCGGGTAAATATTTTAGTTATTATACTTTTTCATTTGTATTTCCTCTTTAATTTCTCCTTAAATTATAATCTCCTTCTGATATATACGCAGGCCATCCGTGATGTTGCTTTATCCTCTGTAAGTATTTGTATTCCTTTACCTCTTTTAGTATACTTGCTTTGTTTTATTTTATACAACATAGTTTCAATTTCGAGAGTTAAACAGCTCTGTTACCGTCTTTTTTTTTTCTCTCTTTATGATAAAGATATGCATCAGTAGTGGCTATAGAGAGTACGTCAAAGTTGGATGATGAGCAATGGCTTGCTTATTGGATTCTCTATTCTTTTCTCACTCTTATGGAGATGCTCCTTCAACCCATGCTTCAATGGTGAGTAACGTTTTGAGTTAGTAATTACCTTGTAATTGATTGGGTTAGTTGTAGATTCGAAAAAAAATCGTGTTAACATGCTCAAAACTCGTATGTTCAATTTTTATGTAAGTACTTGGTTTAATTGTAGGATACCTATTTGGTATGATTTGAAGCTAGCAATGGTAGCATGGCTTGTTCTTCCCCAGTTCAGGGGAGCTGCTTTTATTTATGAGAAGTTTGTTAGGGAAAAACTCATCAACAAATATGGAGCTCGATATTTTAGAGACAAATCGCCTCCACCTGTGGCTGTCAGTCCTGCCAAGGTGATCAAATCATTTATCTTGTCGTCCTTCTATAAATTATTGTAGTATGATTGTTCAAACTCTAATAAACAAAATTACGAGTTAAGTTATATATACTCGTGATAATGATGCTGCTATTTTTTTTTGGAGACAGGTAAGCGTGAAAACCAGTGAGGATAGGACTGATTGAGGAGGCGGATTTATGTGGAAGCTCTGCGTTCTTATGTTCTAATCAGCCAAAGAAAACTATATCTGTAATAATACTAATGAATAGGAATTGGTGAAAGATCATAATGCGAATGTTTTATCGATTGCCACCTTCAAATATGTAAATGTAATAATTATTTGCTTATCAATGAGAGTTTTTGTTTGAATCATGTTGTATGGAATTGGTGTTGAGATCTGTTCTAAATTGATCGTTAACTGTATAGCCAATAGTGTTCCCAATGCAAGTACAGCTTGTTAATTGGTTTGCAACACGTCCAGCCTTGTTGCGCTCAGTTAAATTTGCATAATCGATAGTCTGTATCTTTATTTTGTAATCAAGTATAGACTCGAAGCATCATACATCTTATCCTATTCCTTACTAATCAATGACAAAATAAGAGAAACTGACAAATTTAAATCATGACCAGTTTTATAGTACATTTTTTTTTAGCTTTTATACTTTTTTTTAGCTTTTCATCTATAAGATTTGTGTTAAAATCGAAACGATCAATATCGAATATCAAGCCATTGATTTTAAAGAGAAGTAGCTAGTTTTTGCGCGTAAGCACCGCGCAAATGAGATATATAAGAATCGATGACGTCTATATGGATCTAATTTTGTATGTATCTCTTCGATACAAAACGACACATCACAACCGCTTTGACTGCGAAAACGTGTCATGTTGCTTCCATGCAGTGGTGCCAACAATGGTAGTAAATACAACACCGCTTCCACCTTCATCTCCATCTTTATGTTTTGCTTTTATCAAGGATAAGAATACTACTCTTTCTGTTTTTTGTTTTTTCTTTTCTTTTCATTATCTTAAACGTTTGCAGGTTTTAGAGTCCATAAATATAATTTCACTTGTTTGAGTCTGAGCTAGCCCAAATCATTAGTATGTTGGTTGAACTAATTCACAAGTTTCTCAATTTAGTAGCTCCTCCAGTTTCTTTCTTCAGCTTGCTTCTTTTCTTGCCACCTTTTCAATTTTTCAAGTGTGTTCTCTCAATTTTGGGCACACTTTTTAGTGAAGATGTTGCTGGAAAGGTCGTCATTATCACTGGGGCTTCATCTGGCATTGGCGAGGTTCGTTAATTTCAACTATTTTATTCGTTTTAATTTATGTGATATAGTTCGATTTGACACCGAGTAATAGTACATGGATTTTTAAGTTAGGATCACCTAATTTTAGGGAACTTTAGTTGAATTTTGTTGGGCTTGGGGAATTAGTACTATATAGTATGTATAACTCGTTGATTAATGAATTCCTTTTTTACATGAACGAAAAAATGTGGAGAAGGGGTTGAAAATTTCTACATTTGAAACCCCTTCTATAAACTCTGCAACTGATGAAGGAAAAATTTTCAACAATTTGCAGTATCTGGCATATGAGTACGCCAAAAGAGGAGCATGTTTAACTCTTGCAGCCAGAAGAGATAGAAGTTTGAATGAAGTGGCCGAAGGGGCACGTGAACTAGGCTCACCAGATGTTATAACAATTCAAGCTGATGTTTCGAAAGCCGAAGACTGTAGAAGGATTGTTGATCAAACCATGAGTCACTTTGGCCGACGTCAGTTTTAATTCTAATTCGTTTGATTCTCGTGTTTATAAGTTTTTTTTTTATAGGATGATTAATCATGTTTTATGAACTCTTTTGTGTTGCGTTGTTGTGTTATTAATGCAGTGGACCATCTGGTTAATAATGCTGGAGTGCACGCGATTGCTCTGTTTGAAGATACAGAGGATGTCACTGATTTTAAATCTGTCATGGTAAAGTGGAAATTGATTTTGATTGTTACCTATAAGCAGACAGTTTGAAGTTTTATCACAATTAACCATAAATGAAATTCATGATTACTTCCCCTTTGCAAATGTTGATATCGGTGACGAATAAGTTTACTAGTGCTATGTACTTTCATTGTGTTGAGCTAGAACAGAAACTTTAACTAGGGTCTGAACTACCCGTGGAATACCGAATTTAAACCTGAGAGAATGCTAACAAGAGATTGACCTGGTCATCTGTTGTAGTTTGTCGTTCTTAGTCATTTTCATAGTCGATGACTCAGATGTATATCAATCGGTTGTATTAGGTTATATGTTGAGTTTTTAGGTTGATAAATCAGGATTGACTCGCATCTACTTAGTGTTATATGTGATTTTAACTTGATGAGGAAAAATTGTGCACTACTCATGGACTAAAGTTATAGTAATTGCTATTTACATGTTTCTGTATTTCGCAGGACATCAACTTCTGGGGTTCTGTTTACATGACTCGCTTTGCGATTCCATATCTTAGGTATAGTGGGGGAAGGATCATTGTGCTTTCCTCATCTGCTTCTTGGCTGCCTGCTCCAAGATCAAGCTTTTATAATGTAAGTAGCTAAGTATAAACTTAACTGCTTCCATTGGAAACAGTAACATTTTATCTTGATGACCCTATTGAAAATTTTGTCATGGCAGGCAAGCAAAGCAGCAGTATCTCAATTCTTTGAGACGTTAAGGATTGAGCTGGGGCAGGACATCAAAATAACTCTGGTGACGCCTGGCTTTGTTGAATCTGAACTAACGCAAGGCAAATACATCGGTAAGGGTGGCGATGTAGAGGTTGATCAAGGAATGAGGGATGTAAGTTTTCCTCTTTGCTACTAGTTCTTGCATTTTCATCCGAGCTAGGGACTATGTTTCTTACATAATCTATTCGGTTTAGGCTCATGTTTCCTCATTTGCTTCTACAAAGAGTTACATACATTACTCGTTTTGAGGAAGAAAGTGAACGTTTTTGTGTGAACTTAGGTATTCATAGGCGCGACTCCAGTAGCCAAAGTTGAATCATGTGCCAAGACAATTGTCAATAGTGCTTGCCGAGGTGAAAGGTATGTTACAATACCATCTTGGTTTCGGGTTAGCTACTTGTGGAAGGTGTTTGCCCCGGAGGTGTTAGAATGGATGTACAGGCTGATGCATCTCACCGGAACTTCACCAGAGGATGCACTTAGCAAGAAAGTAGCGGATTATACCGGCGCGCAAAACGTGTTGTATCCCGAGACTATCAGGACTGGAGAAACAAAGACTGATTAATGTTGTGATGTAAAAAGAGGTAGTAAGTGTTTGTATCGTCTCCTGTAATTTCCTAAATCACGAGTTTCAATTAGAAAGACCTTTGTGTGGTTGTTTGTATTGTGACTATGAATAAAATTGAGCATGTTTCAGTTAATGATACAGTGTTATTTGTTCTCTGGAAATCAACCAAAAGGACATGATGTTATCGAGGTGCCAATAATTTAACAGTGGCCTTTGCAATTACTCTCTATAACGACAATACAAGTGATTGTTGTCTTGTATTAATATTATCATATCAACGAAAAAAGTTGAAAGTTGAATTACAGTTTTATCCCTTCTATAAATTAAATTGTTATAAAATATTTAATTATTTGATTGTATAAATTTAATTAAAAGGTTAATGACTTTTAGACTTCTAAAGATTGATTTCTAATTAAATATCCAATTAATTAATATTTATCATCTATAATCTATAATCTATATAACAATTATAAATTTTTTTTTTAAAAAAAGTCTTTACTAAATTGCTATATTTTTCCTCTTTCTCGTAACTTTTTCCTTAACCCCTCTCATAAATAATATAATTTATGTGGATAAAGTATTATTCTTTATGATAAATAACGAATTTAATAATATAAAGAGTGCAAATCTGCAAAATGGAGATACACGTTGATAATGTCCTCTCGATTATTATTAAAGAATGACTCTATCTTCACAAATTTAAATTCATTAACGCTTAATTACGTGATAAAAATTTTAGTTGTTCTTTCTACATGATTTGCTAATTTTAACTTCTTTTTTCATATTCTTCATTTATTTATTATTATTTGTTAATTACTTATTCAACTTTATACTCTTAATATAACATACTCTCATCTTTTCATATTCATAACCTCCAAATATTTGAACTAAAACTTTAATATATCTTTTGATATTCCTTCTATTCTATTTATATAAATTCAACTTTTTTAATCTCATGAAACCCCTAGCAAGATTATTAGGCTACCATTTTCATTCTATAGTTAAAGTAGATGAAGAAACCTCTTGAATTTTGATAAGATATGAAAGGAGTCGATAAGAACTCAGTGAGTTATGTACTAATTTTGTACTTATTTTTCATCTACACATACATCAGTCTTATAAGAACAATGTTTACATTGGATCTTTCTTAAATCTGTTTCTTTTTTTTTTTATCACCATCAGACTTCTTAATTTAGTTTTTTTTTATGAATGTTTTATTGCGTAAGTCTTTATTCTTATTTTGTAATTGTTACATTATATTATTCATTTATTTACATATATATTCCCATGAAATTTTTATCATTATAACATATCTATAAAAATTCACATAGAATACACGTGCGAAGCACGTTCTCATAAACTAGTCTTATTATAAGAGGGAACAAAAAAAGTTAAAAGTTGAATTACAATTTTAGCCTTACTATAAATTAAAATATTATAAAAACGTTTAATTATTTAGTTTAAATATTAAATTATATCATTTTAATTAAAATGTAGATTACTTTTGCATTTTCTTAAATTAATTCTAAATTAAAATATAAAAAAATAATTAAATGTTTTGAATATGAAAAGATATATATTTTAATTGTACATATATATCCTAGAATAATTAATGGCATGTGAAAAGAGTGACCCCCTATTTATTCGATTAATGCCACTGATTTTATTTATTTGATTTATTATTACTAAAATGTTTAAAGTGTGTAGTTATATGTGAATGAATTAGTAATAAATTATTAAGATGACTTGTAATTGCCTCGTTTATTACTAATTACAATGATTTGTGTTTTTCATCTTATTAATCATTCATTCAAACTAGACTATATTCCAAGTTCAAAGCAATAATTATTAGTGGTAATGTTAATTCTCTTATTAAGTTTAACTATGATTTGTATTTTTCATCTTTCCATCTATCTATATATTAAAGACTATTATTTAGAACTGAAAAATATAGAATTTAAACAAACATTTTTACGATTATTTAAGAACTAGGTTATAACAATTGAAAAATGAAAGAAATTGTCATTCAACTGACAATCAAAAAACTATTCCATCTATGATAAGCAAAAAAGCCATGAAAAAATAGAATACATGAGGCGGGGAGAAGAATTTAAAGACTTCTTTTTAGACATGCCTAAGTCTCTCTTTCGATATATATTCTCCATCACGAAGATTATTGTTGTTTTTAATTTCTTTTGCATTTCTAATAAATTCATTGTGGTGTTGTAATCTTTTAGCTATTATTATGAGCTTTTAAAATAGATGTATGTATGAAAAATAGTGTTTAAATTATATATCTGTCAGTTTTATACTTTTAATGTAATTGCTTTTATCTGTCAGTTTTATACTTTTAATGTAATTGCTTTTAATCTTGTATAATTGTGATAATACTGTCTTTTAATTTTAGAACCTTACTTAAATAATGTAAATATTTTACTCTATCGTTTCTCATTAAAATAAAATAAGCAATCTTATCAATGAGTGTGCATATATTTTTAATATTCATTTATGGCTACAAAAGATTATCATTGATATTTAGATCATAAAAAAGACTTATACAAAATTAAAGGAGACCATATTATATTAATTAATTTCATATACTTTTTGCTTGATGCCAAATGCGCAATTACTTTTTATTTATTTTTGTTGATACATGAAATATAATTGGTAAAATTAATATTATTGATTTAAACATTTTCTATTTGATAGCACAACTTTAAATTATATAACAATAATAAAAATTGAACGTGCAACGCACATTGTCAGAAACTAGTAATATAATACACATCAACTTATTATGAATGTTGTCTTGTATTAATATTATAATATAATACACATCAACTTATTATGAATATTTTGAATATAAATATACAGTGTGTATATATATAAATTAACGAGATGTATTTTGAGTAATTGGATTACATATTGCATTTCACCGTTTCAATTAATTTATCTGATTTTATTTAAAATATAGATAATTTTAAATTAAAAAATTTATAACATAATAATTTAGTAGTCTTAAAAATGTTATTTAACAAAATAAAAAAACCACCAAAAGAAAAAGGAAGTAGAAAAAATAGACAAATTAAAACGAAATAAAACATTTTGAGTAATTGAGCCATCACGATTCATAAATAATATATTAAAATGTTATATTGATAAATGACATATTTATATGTTTTTTTTACATGATATGAAGTATCTCTTTTTCTCGTTGAGTATGATTCTTCTTGTTTTAAAAAATTAAAATCATAATTTCTTTTTTTATAATGTAATGACTTCAAATGTAAGGTTAGTATATATTAGGTATCAAATTAGTCTAACCCATGTATAGTAAAGGACCATTTTGATAATTTTTCTCCACGTAAATCCACATATCAAACGGGCAGGTCGATAGTGCTGACCGTGAAACAAAACGTGGCATTGGCGGGTAAAAATTCATGTTTATCTGCAATTTTTTGAAATTCATTCGAAAAAATTTCCCCTTTTCGCTCCAGATCTACCCGCGCTTTTCCAAAAGAATTTTCCCGCAAAATTTTGCACGAATCTGTCTAATATGCTCCATTAGACCACACCACTCTTTATTCAACTGTATTCATTCTCAAAAAAATTCTCTCTTCAAAGCACAAACAAAACCTACTGAAAACTTCCATGGCGGCCGACAAAGAAACACTAGAAGAGAAGAAGCAAGAGAAGGAAACAATCGAGAAAGAGGCGAAGGCGAAGAGGAGTAGCGAAGAGGAAAATGAAGGCGCAGAAGAAATGGATGTAGACAAAGAAGATGAGAAGGCGAAGGAAAAAGTTGTGAAGAAGGTAGAAGATGAGGGTGTAGAGAAAGAGGAGGAAGCGAAAAGTGATGATGCGATTTCGCCCAAAACACCAGGTTCCAGACCGACGAGGGAAAGGAAAACAGTGGAGAGGTATTTTGAGTCTCTGGTTTATAGAGGATCTGCAACCAAACCCTTGTCCATTGAGAAGGTATAATTCTAAAAAAAATTCTGATTTTGATAATTTACATACAGATAAAATAATGATCGTTTTTGCGATTCATCTTTATGTTAGTACTAATTAATGAGAGGCTAGTTTATTTGATCAATTATGCTTCAATCTCAAACAAACTAGCTATGAATGCTAAATCCAACTGTTAAGCTGATTTAATATAGAAAAAAAACCCTGCCAAACAAGAACTGTTATGCTAAGTTTAGCAATCTGCCTCTTCCGTTTTGGGTTTTTGCCATTCGTTTAATCTTTGGTCAGAGTTTGATTTTTGTTGGTTTATTGAGGTAGATCGCAGAATGAACAGTAAGATCTGGTCATATGAAAAAGCATAATCACTGATATCTCATGTGAATAAGAAAATCAAGAAAAAATAGTTATGCAGCAACATTATTGCACATTCCCTTATAATTACGCATACCCCACGTGTTATTCTCTTGCATGTTTCTTGGTTCGTCTATTGAACAAGCGCTATTGGAATGTCTTGTTTCAATTTTCACCAGAAATGTCAATAGTATTTGTCACTTTTTCGGGGATCCCCTCTTATTATTCTGGTGATTAAATGCAGGGTCAAGGTACACAGCTGAAGGACATCCCAAATGGTACATTTTCTTTTAATTATTCAGCCACTTTTTCCCCACTTCTTTTTGTTTTTATGTATATTATCAAGTTTATCTCAGAGAAACTAATATGGTTCAGTTAGCAAATATTCATTGAGAGTGTAACATAACTACATGCTTCTCGTGCCAACAAAATCCTTGTGTTTGATTGTTGTATTGTTAGTTTGTGCTGTTTGCTAATCCTATTTTGCAGCAGTTGCTTGTTTTTGTAACATGAATAATGATCTTGCAAGGTAATTGCTTCATTTCATTTAGCTGGTTTAAGTTTATTTCTTTTAGAAGAGGAGGGGTTGGATCTTATGAGTCAGTTGAAGCATTTAAATTCTTCTGGTGAACCCTTCACTTCTTTATTACACATATGAGCATAGGTCAGTATACTACATTATTGTAAAATAGGTGTGCCTAATGAACCATTTGATACACTGGAACAATGAACAACCTAGCTGAACTACAGCTGTTTGTTTCTTTTTTTTTGGCCCTATAAGAGGTATCATCTTTGTTAGCAAAAAATAAAGGAGTA